ATTTACAGTATTAATAGAACCTTGCAAGACATTTTGTATACATAAATACATCTTCCAAACAAAGAACAATCTCATTGAAGAGATAATTTACTTATTCAGCCTCAAGCAATAGTACTGTTTTGTGTATAGACCTCTCTAAATAAACTGGCTTAGTTGTGCGTGTGCCTTTACTGTCTAGTGTTGTTGTCTACTAAGTAACAGTTTGAGTTTCTGACTTTTTCCATCATCAGCTCCTTGGAAGACTTTGATTACCTTCGCCAACTTCCACTGATTCCTTGGTGCGCAATCATCTTGCAACAGGACAATGTCATTCACTTTAGCATTTCTCCTGTCCTTGTTCCACTTACTCCTTTGCTGCAGATTCAGCAAATACTCCTTTCTCCACCTAGTCCAAAATTCATTGGTCAAGAACTGAACTCTCTTCCATCTTTTCTGAAGATAGAGATCTTCCCTCAAAAACTCTCCAGGTGGTGGTGCAATGATTGACGATTTCATTGTCAATATGTGGTTTGGAGTTAGGGGTTCTGGTCCTAATGGATCATTGAGATGTTCCGTGGTCAATGGTCGACTATTCACTATAGCCATCACTTCGTAAAGAAAGGTTCTTAATGAAGAGCTATCTAATCTTCCAGCAGACTGGTCTAGGATGGATGAAAGGACACTTCTCACGGTCCGAATCTGCCTCTCCCAGACGCCGCCAATGTGACTGGAAGCAGGTGGGTTCATGACAAAGTTGCATCCTAGCTCTTTCACACGTTCTTGCTCCAGTCCTTTCATTAATTCCTGGAATTCATTGCGTGCTCCGACNNGTAGTTGACTGACACTGCCCCTTATGGCAATAAAGCAGCGCAACGCATTGAGGAAGGCATCAGTGGAAAGATCATCCAATACCTCAATGTGGATGGCACGTGAGCACATGCAGGTGAATAGGAGCCCATATCTTTTCAGTTCTTTCCTTCCATCTTTAACATAAAATGGTCCGAAGCAGTCCATACCACTGTAAGTAAATGGAGGGGTAGCTTCCATCCTCTCTGGTGGAAGGTCGGCCATTTTTTGTTCTTGATTACACTTTCTGAGTTTTCTGCATTTAATGCACTTGAAGATGAACGACGACACTTCACTACTACACCCCAGGATCCAAATCCCACCTGAGCGTAGTTCATTGATGGTCATTCCACGACCCTGATGTTTCACCTTCTCGTGGTAGTACTTTATCAGCAATCGTGACACATGATGACCTTTGGGGAGGATAGCTGG